CTAATATTAGATTTAAAATTAAACACAACTACTACTAGACTGGTACTGATCGTTAACTGCACAGCAAACGTTACACTCGACACTAAATGTATACAAATGATGCAAACTGTACACACGGCTTGTAGACTAGACTCTTGAGATATTATATGTAAGCCTTCACAACTATGAACTAGTTCTTAATCTTTCTCAATAACGTGTTCATTGTGAATACCACATGGTAAGCTTACTACTCACTACTGTGCCGTAGTGCCGTTATTTTCGGGCATCCATTGCATTGTCCTTAAATGGTCTAAAGTCATGCTCCTGATATTACATCTCAACTTTAATAAGTCCAACAGTACAACGTAAAACGTGAGCCCAAACGATGAGCAGAATGTCGAATTTGTAACCGTCACGTACATGTAATTAGGTCGGTCCGACCTAATTTCATATCCATGATGTAAAGCATATATTTTTAACTCACAGAGAATATGTAGTTTATGCTTACCTTTCATCATCATGTAACGTTAGTCTCATTCAAAAATATTGATATTTGACCAATTTATGGGCCAAAATTTTTCACATGCCCAAATATGGCCATAATCTGGCTTGTATCACGTTGCGACTCCCACGGTCGTTTCACTATGGTCCTGACGATACTGGGGGAGCCGCGCACTTCGTGCGCGGCGGGTCATACAACGTATGACAAAATATGGCCATGTTTTGGCTCATAACTCAGTCATTTTTAGTCTAATCTGGATGAAAATTCATATACAAATTCAGAAGAACACTACTACTAGCTACAAATGGAGCACCTAAACATAAGTTTTGGACATGTTATGTCCCGTCGCGTTTGACCTATTATTGATTATAAATAAATGGATACCTATATTAGATCGGTCCGCCCTTGTTACATGTTCGTGACAGTATGACTATGAGTAACAGTCGAATCGGTTATCCTTGCGATTAATTAAATATGCAGACCGAAATCCACCATTGAACAATGAACATTGACATTATTATTCCACTTAATTGTTAAGGTTCGACTTGGCTTCATTCGGACGCGGTTACAAAATATTATTGATTATCAATTATAAAAGTTCGAAGTTTATTTCATTAGTGAACGTGAATATCCGATAACCTTTGTTTTAAGAATTCAACAGTGAATTAGTGCTGCTATTACAAATTACTGCAAAGTTATTACATCATACATATTAACACACGGCCCGATGGCCGATTGTATCACGCGGTGACCCCCACTGCCGCTTCACTTCGACGCTACAGGGGGAGCCGCGCACTTCGTGCGCGGCGGGTCATACAACGTATGACAAATGGCCGATAAAATCAAATCGGGATGATTATTAATCACCCTACACTCGACTGTCACGTGACTTTTTTAACTTGTTCTCTAGCTGGCCCTGAACGACTATTAGTATTAGAAACCCTAACCCTATATTATGTTGTATAATGTCGTGATACCCATCGCCGTTTCACTATAGTAGAGTTTCTACGGTACATGGGGAGCCTTGACCATTGTTAATGGTCTGGCCCGGCGCGCGCTACTTCGTAGCACTTGCCGTCGGTAACATTTCGAAAAGAAAGCGGCGCGCGCTACTTCGAAGAAATTTAGACGAGTAACATCCGTCAATGGGGAGCCGCGCACTCGTGCGCGGCGGGTCATACAACGTATGACAACTAATATGATCGGCCCAACCATAATCCTAACAAAAGCATATTAATATACTGAAACCCTAACGAGAAATTATATCAACTTCCTTATATATGGTCATATTGTAGCGTGATGCACTACTAGGCCACGCCGCAAATAATGTTTCTCGTTAGATCGGCGAGGTGCACCACTGGGCCACGCAGAGCTGAGAAGGATTGCCATCGTGAATGAAACGGTCATATCGAGATAGTTTTTCGCTAATATCTTCATGCCAGGGGAGCATTTTACTTTTATAATCCTATACTAGGCCTATGTCATGGGGCTGATTCAGAATCAGCGTCCGAAAATACATCAAGCTGGTTTCAATTTCAACTTTCAGGTACCTTTTTAGAAAAATTTTAAAGATCGAGTGTACGGTGATTAGCACGCTCTGATAAATACAAAATAGATAAGCACAAATAATGTACAATGGCTTTGAAACAGATGAGATAATGGATTAGTAAGATTGTAGATGGTACACTGGTGCAGTATGACTATGATTAAATAGTAATGAATGACCGGATATAACGGAGTTAGAACATGGCGTCGCCGTCGAACAACATACTAGTTGCAGTTGGCCTTAAAAGTTGCTCAACCATGAACCGGCTTGTAAAACAAGCGCGTCACGTAGTATGTTATGTGTATGTAGTACGCGAAGTGCAGGCCCATTTGCTCTATCCAGATCCCTTGCGCTTGCAGTGGCGCGCGCCCGCCTCACGGCGGTAAAAAGGCTTGTGAAACAAGCGCGCCCGCAGTGGCGCGAAAGCACATGGTTAGGTGAACAGGCCCATGGCTAGGTGAATGTAATGCACACAATTTGAAGTATGATTTTTTACCATTATCCTTGTGGATCATTGTATCACGTAGTGACCCCCACTGTCGCTTCACTATAGTGATATAACCCCTGTAGAGTTTCTACGATACAGGGGGAGCCGCGCACTCGTGCGCGGCGGGTCATACAACTTATGACAAGTGGATAGTTTGAGACAATGTTATGATTAGATGGGCAAATAAAAGAGTCACCCGGGTCATCCAAATAATATTAACAACTGTTACTATGCACCAATCCTAATTTATTCCCATCTTTTCCACCAATCAAATCTAATTTTTACCCAAATTACCCAAAAAAAATACACAAAAAATAAACCAATCCAATTAAAACACTCACACAATATAACCAAACCCACAATCAACCCACACCCCACAATTAATAAACAAACAACCCCCAATTTTCATAATAACCACACACCACCCCCCCCCAACCACACCACCCAAAACCTCAACCCCCACCCAACCCCCCCCCACACACCCCCACACCACCCCCCCCAACACCAACCCAAACCACCACACAAACAACCCACACCACCACCACAACACACACCCCAAAAAAACAAAACCCCCAACACACCCCCCACAACCCCCATCACCCACACCCAACCACCCCACCCCCACACACCAACAAAAACAAAAACACCAAACACACACTCACCCCACAACACACCCAACACCCCTAAACCCAACAAAACAAAAACCCCAAACCAACAACCACCCCCCAAATAATCCCTCCAACATATATTCACAAAAACTAAAATAAACCCAACCCAATCCCACCCAAACAACCCCATCCCCCAAAAACCCAAAATACCCCTTCTACCCAAATCCAATAAAACAAAACCCCTATCCACTACCCCATTACACACCATATAATAACCAACCCCCCAAATTAACCCACACTTTTTATCTTTTCCCCCCCCACACACACAAACAAACCCACAAACAACACCACAAGCTGCACCCCAAGAGACCCCCAAAATCACACAGAAGCGCAAGCCAAAGAGTAGTCTGCAAGAAAGACCAAGAACTGAACTGACAAACAAGAGCCCCCCACATTAGACCAAACAGTGCGTACCAACACCAATATAAAAAAAAGTAGAATAAATAAATGAATATCGAGCACAAAATGAGAATAAAAACTTACAGTGTCCACACAAACAAAGTACACTCCACCTAGAACAGGCCGTAACGTGATCAACACCAACCACAAACAAACGCGAGAAACAAAACCCGAAAAACAAAACCAGAGCAACCGTAGAGATATACTAACTATCAACACTAAGAGTAATAAGAACCAAGTCATCTCGCAATCTTACACATATCGAACAATACTAGGACAACAAATTACAGACAGAGAAGACTACTTTCAGAGATGGCAATGACCCTCCCGACTCCACTCTATGCGGAGAACAGTCAAGACAGCTAGAGGCCAACTGAGACCTGAGACAAGATATCTAACATGTCAGTGATCTGTGTTGTCACACATCTCACACCTTAAGAGACTGTCCACCCAAAATCCCGCAAACTATTACAGTCGTGCTACCTCCACAAACATACCTTATGTAGACATTTAGGTCTTTCATAATTTGACTTTAAATATCATGAAAGAACTCCTCTATCTTTCTGTTCTTAATGACTAAACATCTCGATAGCGCAGAATTACGCGTCTTCAGCGATACCTAGTTAAATGACTGAGCTTTTACGCCCTGAGATCTGACTCATGATCTACTTCCTGTATGTCATTCTCATTGTTAGCTTTTAGTGATCATAAGACTAACATTGATGTCACAGGTCGACCAATAGGTCGAGTTTCTTCTAATATACGTGTCGAAGTCTGTGGAACTACTATGATATTTCAGATAACGCCAACACCCTTGAAAGTGAGTTTAGACGGCCCAGTATGTATGTGACACCGAATTGGTCTAGGCGTCCACTGACATCTTTCCACACTTACTGCCCACTCTTCTTTTAGATGTTTTGTCGTGTTTCGCTAGTGATGAGCCATGCTAATCATAAAATTTTGGTTTCTCAAAGCATCTTGTGTTTTTAGAGTGTAACAAATTGCCTAAAATGGCATACGTTTTTATGGCATAAATGGAAATTTTTATTGGCCAATTCTCCATTATGCCATTTATGCCATTGGTACCCCCTCTACCAAACGCCTAAAAGATTGCTCAGAATTAAATCAAATTTAAATAAAACTTACGGGTACGGTGTTGTTGTGCTCTGAAGACGGATCAGAATTCGAGGAGTGAAGCTTAGATCTCAAAACCGACACCTCATCTGAAGCCCGAATCAAAGTGTTATTAAAAAGTGTCACTTGTAAATTACTTTTGGACGTTTGGGTTAATTTACAATGTGTTATGCTTTGACAGACAAATCATCAATCGAGTGACTAAAAGCATAATTACCTTTGAGTTGTTGGATCTGCTTGTCTCCTGTCCTGAGTGTCCTCAACAGTTCTGCCTTCTCCTCATCAAGTTTATCAATTGTTTGTTGGTGAAGTGCTGTGTCAGACAGCTGGGATGTCGATGCTTGGGACTCATTGTCTACGTCATGTGACCCATTTGAGTTCTAGAGGGTAGCGTATTACTATATATATTATTATATATCAGACATCAGCTTATATATTTACGATGACAACAAGAAAATTTATCCAATATACAAATATATATATACAGATATAGCAATTGTTTGATCTGAAATATTAAGGAATGGTATCATTGTCAATACCACACCTTTTCAAGTATAATATGAAATTAATTGTGGAACAACTGGGACTGGGAGACAAAAAATCAAGATTGCATTTTTTTAAATACATTTCACAAGGATTATTAAAATATGACAAAGACCGGACTTACCCGTGGCACCCTTCTATTTTGCGCCTCCTCTGCCTCTTTCTGCCTCTTTTCACTGGGTTTTAATTTGGTTTACTTAAATTTAAAAAGCAATGAAGACAAATTCAAATCTAAAATCTGACATTTGAAAATTCTACATTTATACGGAGGTACGGAGATTGTGCTTGGAAGAAAAATATTCAACCTTAGTGCCTGTATTTCTTCTCCGTGCTTCAACATAATCTTCATCAACAGTAAATCTCTCTGTAGTGGATCTGAATTGCGAATTAAATGAAAAACATTGATTCGCTCATACTTTGTCCTGTGATCATGAAAACATTTTATGTATATTTAATTGAATTTGTTAAGTTACTAAATCAAACACTGCACGACGCCAGTAAACGACCGGGGGTAGGATTTGGCCGGGGCCGGGAAATGGAATGTCCAAATTTTGCCGGGGCTGGGAATTGGCCGTTCTGGAATTTGGCCGGGGCCGTGAATTTAATAAATTATTAAGATTTAAGGATTTAGGTGGAATATCGTAATTGTAAAAACTATCAGAGGTTACAAAAACAAAGGACTGCTCTTGAAAGTTGGCACTCTGGACATCATCCTTTCAAAATTGAAAATCCATTTTAATATTTATATGGCCGATTTCGATCAAAAATTCCCGGCCAAAATTGAAAATCGGCCGGGGCCGGGAAGAAATAGCTCCCCCGGTGCCGGGAATCCCGGTCGATTACTGCACGACGCACGTGTAGATGTGAAGCAGTTCATAGGTTTGATGATAGGTTCGGTCATAACGTGCTGATTGTAGGTAATAGGAATTTAAAAGTTCGATAAAAACCTTTCTCTTTGATGTAGACCAAGTCGACTAAATTTCTAGCAAGAAGCCTTATTACAGGATAGTTCTCTTTCTTCTTCTTCTCCTTCTCTTTCTCCGTTCTCATTTCCTCCAACAGCTGCTCAGCGGCCTCTTCTGTCAAATATGCCAATATGTATATACATACAATGTATAATTAAATTTAAATGTGCGATAAAATTTAACCGACTCTTCTAAGGAAGATTACCATCGGCCTCAACACTGCATAAAAAGTGCATGATAGACTCGTTGCAAAGGTTTTCTCTGACTCTGTTTAATCACGAATTAAGTATTTAAGTATGAAGTAAATATTTTTAAGGATAGAAAATAAAAAGTTCAAAATTATAAAAACCTATTTGTTCGACGTAGGAAGACATTCTAAATAAGTTTCAGTGAGGAGAGAGGGGGGGGGGGGGGGGGGGGGGGGTAATGACTACCAATGGAGACTTTTGGGGACTAAAAATCATGGGGACTAGAGGTCAACTCGTTGACGTAATTCACCATTTGTCCCCAGAATTTTTGACAGTTATTTATGGTTTTCAAGTTAGTTTAATAACGATACGATCGAGATGTTTTGTCCAAGATAAGAGTAGGATAAATCTAAATGGGGACTAATGGGGACTAAAAATCATCTAAATGGGGACTAATGGAGACTTTTGGGGACTAAAAATCATGGGGACTCGGGGTAAAATCGTTGACGTAATTCCCCAAGTCCCCAAAAGTAGTCATTACCCCCCCCCCCCCCCCCCCCCCCGGAGAGAGCCACCTAGTTCGTGGATTTCTATACCAATGTTTGTAAATAAAATGTAATGTTTGTGAGAATAATTTAATGTTTATTTTACAATATTGAAACTAATATTATCCTTGTGGCTCAGTTGGTGAATCCATCTGTCTACTGACTCTAGCTGGGCAAATTTAAGAGCTCAAAACTGAAGGGCAGCCGTCACTGACCAAACTATTGTGTGCCTTCTATCGTGTATTAGTGACATAAATTGACGTTGGAGCTGCGAAAATGACACGAGCGCAGCAAAATAAAACATTGAGTTTGAGTTGGTAGGTAAAATTTAGTAAAAATTCAAATGGCCCCAAAACATTATTTATTCCGCATTCCCAAAATAAAATATTTTCTGAAAGTTAATTGTTCGTCGGTCAGAGATGATCTACCTGATGTTCATTTTAAATCATACTACATAAAACGAATATGGCTTCAGTTTATTAAATCACTAAAAATTCGAGCGGCCAAACTCCAACGTCACTAATATGTAACAGGATCTAAATAATTCTTATTACTCCCATCTTGTAATAGTTAAATCTAAATGGAAGACGATCATTGATCTAAGGTTACATTATGTATCATAGCAATCTTAGTCATAAGTATAATTATGATAATCATCTAAAGTAAGTAGAACCTATTTAAAAATCTGCTATGCCTTCAGTATCATATCCTGGAGCTTGGTTTCAGTGTCTGCCCACAATTGTAACGACAATAATCTGTTTCATTTGTTAAATATGCACTAGTCCTAAGTCCAGGCTCGCTGAACTGCGAACCCGCAATTCTGAGAGTGAACGATGATCTTCATGTTAGATTAATTTCCAATGCTGCTCCAATAGAATACAGTTGTTTGGTAGCTCCTCAATCATCGTTCTCCTTGTTCTTTCCTCTTTTTCGTTTCTTCTTGGGCTTCTCCGTGTCCTCCCCGTCTTCCTCCACCTAAATAGATGATAAGTAAATTAAAAACATTTTTCCCTTGATGGACGGTCGTCGGTGATGGAGTTAATTCAAAATTATTGAACGAATAATTGTAGTATATCTTCCGTCTAAACTGTAAATGAAAATCAACTTGTATTGTCACCAAGATGTAACTAGGTCGAACGGAAAAATTAGGCCTCACGCAGGAATTAGTTCTCAAGTAGGCGCGGCTTTTAAGTGTATTTATATATCACGCGCCTGCGTGAGACCTAATTCCTGCGTGAGACCTAATTCTCCGTTCGACCTAGTTACATCTTGGTGACAGTAATAATAATGAAACCTTAGTAAATTTTTCTTCGAGAACTTTCATGTTTACTTTGAAATCTCGGGCAGGGCTCCTTTTGAAGTGTTCCATCAAATCTGTCTGAAAATCATCCAATGTAATTATAATGAATTAAAGAGGACTTTTTAAGAGATTAAAATTTAAAATTTACGATTGAATGAAGCGAATAACTTAAAACCTACTTTAGTTTTCTTGCTGAGTATGATGAGGTTTCTTTCGCACTGCTCAACAGCGTATATAAGACCGGGGACACTGACGGCTTGTTTACGTATGGTGGCTGCGTTCTGAGCTGTGCCTGAGGGAGATTCCAAATGTTGCGAATTTTGTGTCTACATGGACGAAAACTTACACGTCTCTTCCAAGTACGGGTGTTTCAGTTGGAAATAGAAATTATTATAAATTAAAATAAAACATCAACTATTATTCGTTCCATTAAGCCCCATATCGGTTTTGTATTTACCAATATTCTCCGCTAGAGGCTGTTCTAAGTAGATGAGGAAACTGTAGAGTTTTTGGTTAGTGGAAGTTCCAACTAACTTGGCCAGCTTCTCCAGTGATTTTAGGATGCCGTGGTTGTGTGATGACTCGCGCTTTATCTGTCACAAAGAGAGGTGTTAGTTGCAAGTTTGTAGGACAAGCAAGATAAAGAACGTAATTAAAATATTACAATAAAATGTAGCATTATTTGAAATGTTTGAACCGCAGAATTGTAGCTATCTTGTAAAAACAACACTCAAATGGTACCCACCTGTAGCGTAAAGGTGTTGTAGAACTTCTTGGTGGTCCGGGAGAGAAGGTCTGTTGTAGAGGAACTGTGAGGACTCTTACACGTCAGACAAACACTCAACACCTGGGAGGGGTAACCACATAAAGGGGGGGGGGGGGGGGGGGGGGGGGGCTGCAGACAAACACTCAACACCTGGGAGGGGTAACCACATTGGGGGGGGGAAGGGGGGGCTGCAGACAAACACTCAACACCTGGGAGGGGTAACCACATTAGGGGGGGGGGGGGGTGGGGTTGCAGACAAACACTCAACACCTGGGAGGGGTAACCACATTAGGGGGGGGGGGGCTGCAGACAAACACTCAACACCTGGGAAGGGTAACCACATTGGAGGGGGGGGGGGGGGGCTGCAGAAAAACACTCAACACCTGGGAGGGGTAACCACATTAGGGGGGGGGGGGGCTGCAGACAAACACTCAACACCTGGGAGGGGTAACCACATTAGGAGCGGGCTGCAGACAAACACTCAACACCTGGGAGGGGTTACCACATCAGGGGGGGTGTTCAGCAGCTGGTAACACTGGAAAGGAAGAGAAAGAGACACACTTACCGTAGCTACTTGCATGAGATACTGGCACAGTAGATCCGACTGATCGTCGCCGGATTTTCCTTGCTGTATACCCCACTCAATATCTGATAATACCTGAGAGAGATTGTTTGTAAATTTTTGCATGATTTTGATTTCTGTCCAAATGCCAGGTTTAATTTTAATTTGCTAACATATTATAACACACATAACCCCGGCATGCGCAGGGATTATATTTCAATTTTTCCCGCGACGCGCGGGAAACATTTATAATAATTTCGAGTGCGAAGCACGAGGGATTATTATGAAAATAACCCCGACGTGCTTTAGCACGAGGGGTTATTTTAATATAACTTAAGCGTGCCGGTGTTATGTGTTATAAACCCCTCCGGGTTAGTGCTAGGACCAACAAATTTGACATTTTACTCTTAATTCTAGCTATATGAGATCATAATGGAAAATATGAAATGGAATTGGGGACTTCCAAATAAATACAACTAAGGTACTATGACTTTTGAAATTGGCGTTATATCTAAACATTATTCCTCAGTCAGAACGTTGAATGAATATGAATATCGATAAGGGGCGTCGAGTTAAGCCTGGCAAGCGATAAAAGCTAATAATGATATCGTGTCATGAAGTTCATCAAAGTAGACGACTATAATACATGGCTTACATCAAACTCGACAAAATTAACCGAACCGGACAAAATCAAATGTAACCGTCGAGACAAGTTTTGGAACTGGTCCAATTAATGTAAGAGTTTAAGTAATGTAGTGTGCTGGAGTTTTGCCAGCGCCTGCAATTAGACCGATACGTAGATCGAGTGTATTTATAGTTCTTACGTTAAGCCATAGGTCACGTGACATTTTTTACCAATGCGCGTCGTAGTAGTTAGTCACGTGATACACGTCATCAAAACACGTGACAGTACGCGGTTGAAATTCTCATGGAATATCAAAACGAAACAAATCTTGTTGAGCCAAATTAGCGGGGCGGGATTATAAAAGCTGTGCCGGGGTTATTTATTCAGCGGGAAAAAACTAACAGCGGGAGCCGGGATTATCAGAATCTATTTAGCGGGAGCCGGGATTATCAGAATCTTATTCTATCCCGGAGGGGTTTATAAGTATTGAATATTGATGTGCGGGAGACGAACATACGAACTATACATTCGTATTTGCAGAGTAGAGGAATGGTTGTAAAGAATAAAGGGAGCAACTAGAGCTTACAGAATCCACTGATGTTAGGAGTACAGAGAGTAGTTTTCCAGCTGAGTTCTCCGAAACCAACTTGTACTTCACCTGAACAAACTAACTATTACACAAACAAACAAACAAACAAACAAACAAACAAACAAACAAACAAACAAACAAACAAACAAACAAACAAACAAACAAACAAACAAACTGTTACACAGGAGACTAGGGGTCCGGACGTAGAGTCTTACGTCGTAGAGTTCCGGACACAGGAGACTATATACTTCAATTCAGTAACCCGAAAACGGTTAAGGATACATGAAAAAACAGAATGTAAAACTAGTGTTACCTCGTCAATCATGCTATCCTCATCCTCTGTCTCAATATCCCCCATCTCAGCTAGAATGTCACGTGCTAGTGCTAGCTGTATATCCAACTGATAAACATAACTCTGGTTTAATTTGTAAACATCAAATTATCTAAATCAGAAATGATTGATCGACCGAAACAAAAACTATAACGTAACATCACTTTAAGTTAAACATCATATATTTGTCCCTCTATAAAGTAATGTCCAATAAACTGACTGATGTGCGACTTTCAAGAAGAAGTAAAGAAGATTAACGAACAATGGAATGTTTTCATCCTAAAGCCTAGCTCGTAACAATAGGTACCTTATCAGAAGATCGTCTCAGGGATGATAGGAGGATGGACACAACGTCTTTAGAAAAACCAGAAGTAAGAGAGGGGTTATCAAGCAACTTGAGGAGTATGTCCTCTAGAGAACTCTGTGATTCACACATACTGTACAACACATCTGAGATGGGTGATCATTAACTACAATTTCAAGACATATTAAAGTAAAATGAAAAAATCATATTGTTAAAACTCTGTCCCATATTCAAATATAAAATTTCTAGAACCGCCATTTCCCCGATTTTTGTCCAGTGACCAATTAGCTGGTTGATTATGGGTCACATGAGACCAAATTGAGGTACTGGAAGTCAAAATCTCGGACAAGAAACTGCAAAATGGAAAAATCTTGTCATCCCAAATGCTGTCCCATTTTCAGATTTTGAAGACGAATCTTCCAGGACCGAAATTTTCCAGTTTTCACTGAATATGTTTCCAATGACCGATTGTCAGTCATGTATGAATGGTATTAAACACAATTGAGGTGCTGATAGTTTGATTCCGGCCGGAAGAAGCTTCCCAGAGAAAGAACTACAAAACCAAAATCAAATTTTCAAAACTCTGTCCCATTTTCAAATATGAAATTTCTGGAACCCAAATTTCTCCGATTTTTGTCCAGTGACCAGTTAGCTGGTTGACTATGGGTCACATGAGACCAAATTGGGGTACTGGAAGTAAAAATCTCGGACAAGAAACTGCAAAATGGAAAAATTTGGTCATCCCAAATGATGTCCCATTTTCAGATTTTGAAGACGAAACTTCCAAGACCGAAATTTCCCAGTTTTTACTGAATATGTTTCCAATGACCGATTTGTCAGTCATCTATGAATGGTATTAAACACAATTGAGGTGCTGATAGTTTGATTCCGGCCGGAGGAAGCTTCCCAGAGAAAGAACTACAAAACCAAAAATCAAATTTTCAAAACTCTGTCCCATTTTCAAATATGAAATTTCTAGAACCCAAATTTCTCCGATTTTTGTCCAGTGACCAGTTAGCTGGTTGACTATGGGTCACATGAGACCAAATTGAGGTACTGGAAGTCAAAATCTCGGACAAGAAACTGCAAAATGGAAAAATTTTGTCATCCCAAATGCTGTCCCATTTTCAGATTTTGAAGACGAAACTTCCAGGACCGAAATTTCCCAGTTTTCACTGAATATGTTTCCAATGACCGATTTGTCAGTCATCTATGAATGGTATTAAACACAATTGAGGTGCTGATAGTTTGATTCCGGCCGGAGGAAGCTTCCCAGAGAAAGAACTACAAAACCAAAAATCAAATTTTCAAAACTCTGTCCCATTTTCAAATATGAAATAACTAGAACCCTAATTTCTCCGATTTTTGTCCAGTGACCAGTTAGCTGGTTGACTATGGGTCACATGAGACCAAATTGGGGTACTGGAAGTCAAAATCTCGGACAAGAAACTGCAAAATGGAAAAATTTTGTCATCCCAAATGCTGTCCCATTTTCAGATTTTGAAGACGAAACTTCCAGGACCGAAATTTCCCAGTTTTCACTGAATATGTTTCCAATGACCGATTTGTCAGTCATCTATGAATGGTATTAAACACAATTGAGGTGCTGATAGTTTGATTCCGGCTGGAGGAAGCTCCCCAGAGAAAGAACTACAAAACCAAAATCAAATTTTCAAAACTCTGTCCCATTTTCAAATATGAAATTTCTAGAACCCAAATTTCTTCGATTTTTGTCCAGTGACCAGTTAGCTGGTTGACTATGGGTCACATGAGACCAAATTGAGGTACTGAAAGTCAAAATCTCGGACAAGAAACTGCAAAATGGAAAAATTTTGTCATCCCAAATGCTGTCCCATTTTCAGATTTTGAAGACGAAACTTCCAGGACCGAAATTTCCCAGTTTTCACTGAATATGTTTCCAATGACCGCTTTGTCAGTCATCTATGAATGGTATTAAACACAATTGAGGTGCTGATAGTTTGATTCCGGCCGGAGGAAGCTTCCCAGAGAAAGAACTACAAAACCAAAAATCAAATTTTCAAAACTCTGTCCCATTTTCAAATATGAAATTTCTAGAACCGCCATTTCCCCGATTTTTGTCCAGTGACCAATTAGCTGGTTGACTATGGGTCACATGAGACCAAATTGAGGTACTGGAAGTCAAAATCTCGGACAAGAAACTGCAAAATGGAAAAATCTTGTCATCCCAAATGCTGTCCCATTTTCAGATTTTGAAGACGAATCTTCCAGGACCGAAATTTCCCAGTTTTCAATGAATATGTTTCCAATGACCGATTGTCAGTCATGTATGAATGGTATTAAACACAACTGAGGTGCTGATAGTTTGATTCCGGCCGGAGGAAGCTTCCCAGAGAAAGAACTACAAAACCAAAAATCAAATTTTCAAAACTCTGTCCCATTTTCAAATATGAAATTTCTAGAACCCAAATTTCTCCGATTTTTGTCCAGTGACCAGTTAGCTGGTTGACTATGGGTCACATGAGACCAAATTGAGGTACTGAAAGTCAAAATCTCGGACAAGAAACTGCAAAATGGAAAAATTTTGTCATCCCAAATGCTGTCCCATTTTCAGATTTTGAAGACGAAACTTCCAGGACCGAAATTTCCCAGTTTTTACTGAATATGTTTCCAATGACCGATTTGTCAGTCATCTATGAATGGTATTAAACACAATTGAGGTACTTATAGTTTGATTCCGGCCGGAGGAAGCTTCCCAGAGAAAGAACTACAAAACCAAAAATCAAATTTTCAAAACTCTGTCCCATTTTCAAATATGAAATTTCTAGAACCCAAATTTCTCCGATTTTTGTCCAGTGACCAGTTAGCTGGTTGACTATGGGTCACATGAGACCAAATTGAGGTACTGAAAGTCAAAATCTCGGACAAGAAACTGCAAAATGGAAAAATTTTGTCATCCCAAATGCTGTCCCATTTTCAGATTTTGAAGACGAAACTTCCAGGACCGAAATTTCCCAGTTTTTACTGAATATGTTTCCAATGACCGATTTGTCAGTCATCTATGAATGGTATTAAACACAATTGAGGTGCTGATAGTTTGATTCCGGCCGGAGGAAGCTTCCCAGAGAAAGAACTACAAAACCAAAAATCAAATTTTCAAAACTCTGTCCCATTTTCAAATATGAAATTTCTAGAACCCAAATTTCTTCGATTTTTGTCCAGTGACCAGTTAGCTGGTTGACTATGGGTCACATGAGACCAAATTGGGGTACTGGAAGTCAAAATCTCGGACAAGAAACTGCAAAATGGAAAAATTTTGTCATCCCAAATGCTGTCCCATTTTCAGATTTTGAAGACGAATCTTCCAGGACCGAAATTTCCCAGTTTTCAATGAATATGTTTCCAATGACCGATTGTCAGTCATGTATGAATGGTATTAAACACAACTGAGGTGCTGATAGTTTGATTCCGGCCGGAGGAAGCTTCCCAGAGAAAGAACTACAAAACCAAAAATCAAATTTTCAAAACTCTGTCCCATTTTCAAATATGAAATTTCTAGAACCCAAATTTCTCCGATTTTTGTCCAGTGACCAGTTAGCTGGTTGACTATGGGTCACATGAGACCAAATTGAGGTACTGAAAGTCAAAATCTCGGACAAGAAACTGCAAAATGGAAAAATTTTGTCATCCCAAATGCTGTCCCATTTTCAGATTTTGAAGACGAAACTTCCAGGACCGAAATTTCCCAGTTTTTACTGAATATGTTTCCAATGACCGATTTGTCAGTCATCTATGAATGGTATTAAACACAATTGAGGTACTTATAGTTTGATTCCGGCCGGAGGAAGCTTCCCAGAGAAAGAACTACAAAACCAAAAATCAAATTTTCAAAACTCTGTCCCATTTTCAAATATGAAATTTCTAGAACCCAAATTTCTCCGATTTTTGTCCAGTGACCAGTTAGCTGGTTGACTATGGGTCACATGAGACCAAATTGAGGTACTGGAAGTCAAAATCTCGGACAAGAAACTGCAAAATGGAAAAATTTTGTCATCCCAAATGCTGTCCCATTTTCAGATTTTGAAGACGAAACTTCCAGGACCGAAATTTCCCAGTTTTCACTGAATATGTTTCCAATGACCGATTTGTCAGTCATCTATGAATGGTATTAAACACAATTGAGGTGCTGATAGTTTGATTCCGGCCGGAGGAAGCTTCCCAGAGAAAGAACTACAAAACCAAAAATCAAATTTTCAAAACTCTGTCCCATTTTCAAATATGAAATTACTAGAACCCAAATTTCTCCGATTTTTGTCCAGTGACCAGTTAGCTGGTTGACTATGGGTCACATGAGACCAAATTGGGGTACTGGAAGTCAAAATCTCGGACAAGAAACTGCAAAATGGAAAAATTTTGTCATCCCAAATGCTGTCCCATTTTCAGATTTTGAAGACGAAACTTCCAGGACCGAAATTTCCCAGTTTTCACTGAATATGTTTCCAATGACCGATTTGTCAGTCATCTATGAATGGTATTAAACACAATTGAGGTGCTGATAGTTTGATTCCGGCCGGAGGAAGCTCCCCAGAGAAAGAACTACAAAACCAAAATCAAATTTTCAAAACTCTGTCCCATTTTCAAATATGAAATTTCTAGAACCCAAATTTCTTCGATTTTTGTCCAGTGACCAGTTAGCTGGTTGACTATGGGTCACATGAGACCAAATTGAGGTACTGAAGTCAAAATCTCGGACAAGAAACTGCAAAATGGAAAAATTTTGTCATCCCAAATGCTGTCCCATTTTCAGATTTTGAAGACGAAACTTCCAGGACCGAAATTTCCCAGTTTTCACTGAATATGTTTCCAATGACCGCTTTGTCAGTCATCTATGAATGGTATTAAACACAATTGAGGTGCTGATAGTTTGATTCCGGCCGGAGGAAGCTTCCCAGAGAAAGAACTACAAAACCAAAAATCAAATTTTCAAAACTCTGTCCCATTTTCAAATATGAAATTTCTAGAACCGCCATTTCCCCGATTTTTGTCCAGTGACCAATTAGCTGGTTGACTATGGGTCACATGAGACCAAATTGAGGTACTGGAAGTCAAAATCTCGGACAAGAAACTGCAAAATGGAAAAATCTTGTCATCCCAAATGCTGTCCCATTTTCAGATTTTGAAGACGAATCTTCCAGGACCGAAATTTCCCAGTTTTCAATGAATATGTTTCCAATGACCGATTGTCAGTCATGTATGAATGGTATTAAACACAACTGAGGTGCTGATAGTTTGATTCCGGCCGGAGGAAGCTTCCCAGAGAAAGAACTACAAAACCAAAAATCAAATTTTCAAAACTCTGTCCCATTTTCAAATATGAAATTTCTAGAACCCAAATTTCTCCGATTTTTGTCCAGTGACCAGTTAGCTGGTTGACTATGGGTCACATGAGACCAAATTGAGGTACTGAAAGTCAAAATCTCGGACAAGAAACTGCAAAATGGAAAAATTTTGTCATCCCAAATGCTGTCCCATTTTCAGATTTTGAAGACGAAACTTCCAGGACCGAAATTTCCCAGTTTTTACTGAATATGTTTCCAATGACCGATTTGTCAGTCATCTATGAATGGTATTAAACACAATTGAGGTACTTATAGTTTGATTCCGGCCGGAGGAAGCTTCCCAGAGAAAGAACTACAAAACCAAAAATCAAATTTTCAAAACTCTGTCCCATTTTCAAATATGAAATTTCTAGAACCCAAATTTCTCCGATTTTTGTCCAGTGACCAGTTAGCTGGTTGACTATGGGTCACATGAGACCAAATTGAGGTACTGAAAGTCAAAATCTCGGACAAGAAACTGCAAAATGGAAAAATTTTGTCATCCCAAATGCTGTCCCATTTTCAGATTTTGAAGACGAAACTTCCAGGACCGAAATTTCCCAGTTTTTACTGAATATGTTTCCAATGACCGATTTGTCAGTCATCTATGAATGGTATTAAACACAATTGAGGTGCTGATAGTTTGATTCCGGCCGGAGGAAGCTTCCCAGAGAAAGAACTACAAAACCAAAAATCAAATTTTCAAAACTCTGTCCCATTTTCAAATATGAAATTTCTAGAACCCAAATTTCTTCGATTTTTGTCCAGTGACCAGTTAGCTGGTTGACTATGGGTCACATGAGACCAAATTGGGGTACTGGAAGTCAAAATCTCGGACAAGAAACTGCAAAATGGAAAAATTTTGTCATCCCAAATGCTGTCCCATTTTCAGATTTTGAAGACGAATCTTCCAGGACCGAAATTTCCCAGTTTTCAATGAATATGTTTCCAATGACCGATTGTCAGTCATGTATGAATGGTATTAAACACAACTGAGGTGCTGATAGTTTGATTCCGGCCGGAGGAAGCTTCCCAGAGAAAGAACTACAAAACCAAAAATCAAATTTTCAAAACTCTGTCCCATTTTCAAATATGAAATTTCTAGAACCCAAATTTCTCCGATTTTTGTCCAGTGACCAGTTAGCTGGTTGACTATGGGTCACATGAGACCAAATTGAGGTACTGAAAGTCAAAATCTCGGACAAGAAACTGCAAAATGGAAAAATTTTGTCATCCCAAATGCTGTCCCATTTTCAGATTTTGAAGACGAAACTTCCAGGACCGAAATTTCCCAGTTTTTACTGAATATGTTTCCAATGACCGATTTGTCAGTCATCTATGAATGGTATTAAACACAATTGAGGTACTTATAGTTTGATTCCGGCCGGAGGAAGCTTCCCAGAGAAAGAACTACAAAACCAAAAATCAAATTTTCAAAACTCTGTCCCATTTTCAAATATGAAATTTCTAGAACCCAAATTTCTCCGATTTTTGTCCAGTGACCAGTTAGCTGGTTGACTATGGGTCACATGAGACCAAATTGAGGTACTGAAAGTCAAAATCTCGGACAAGAAACTGCAAAATGGAAAAATTTTGTCATCCCAAATGCTGTCCCATTTTCAGATTTTGAAGACGAAACTTCCAGGACCGAAATTTCCCAGTTTTTACTGAATATGTTTCCAATGACCGATTTGTCAGTCATCTATGAATGGTATTAAACACAATTGAGGTGCTGATAGTTTGATTCCGGCCGGAGGAAGCTTCCCAGAGAAAGAACTACAAAACCAAAAATCAAATTTTCAAAACTCTGTCCCATTTTCAAATATGAAATTTCTAGAACCCAAATTTCTTCGATTTTTGTCCAGTGACCAGTTAGCTGGTTGACTATGGGTCACATGAGACCAAATTGGGGTACTGGAAGTCAAAATCTCGGACAAGAAACTGCAAAATGGAAAAATTTTGTCATCCCAAATGCTGTCCCATTTTCAGATTTTGAAGACGAAACTTCCAGGACCGAAATTTCCCAGTTTTCACTGAATATGTTTCCAATGACCGATTTGTCAGTCATCTATGAATGGTATCGAAATTTCCCAGTTTTCACTGAATATGTTTCCAATGACCGATTTGTCAGTCATCTATGAATGGTATTAAACACAATTGAGGTACTTATAGTTTGATTCCGGCCGGAGGAAGCTTCCCAGAGAAAGAACTACAAAACCAAAAATCAAATTTTCAAAACTCTGTCCCATTTTCAAATATGAAATTACTAGAACCCAAATTTCTCCGATTTTTGTCCAGTGACCAGTTAGCTGGTTGACTATGGGTCACATGAGACCAAATTGAGGTACTGGAAGTCAAATATGAAATTTCTAAAACCGAAATTTCCCAGATTTTTGTCCAGATCAAACTGCAAAACGGTGAACAAGCAAATTGTACTAGCGGTAAAACAAATGACATGGAATTTGTCATGATATTCTATTAAGTTGAATCAATTAAAACAAAGTGCGTAGGTACCTATAAAAATTAAGGCTTACCCATGGCAGAAAGTAGATGCTGTGCTTCAGTAAAGTCCTCAGCAATAACAGCTTTATTGAAGAGAGGTGTGATCTTGTCTCTAAGTCCTGTTATCTCTGATGATCCTGTAGATGTCTCACAATACTCCTCTAACTTATCCCTGGATTATTATTGATAATAGTTTACAACGGAGAGGTAACATGTCATTAAGGTATGTCCAGAACCTTTTCAATTGTTGTTGACCAAAACACACAATTTTTAAACGTTTTGTACTTTACATAACCATAACAAATAAATTGACAGACAGAAATTTTAACCTGTCAAATATAAGTTCTTACAAATATGTCGCCATTATACTGTAAAATACAGAAGCAGCCAAACAACTAACATGTGAGAAGAGTTGACAACTCTGATAGACTTGTCCAGTAAAGAGGCAGCCTGCTCCCTGAACAGAGACTTGTCTCTTGATAGATGGCACAACAGAGACTTTGTTATTGAACCTAGAGTGTAGACTTGGTTTTTATTGTCCTCTTCTTCGTCATCTGATATAATCTGGAGAGGAATTAGTGTAATACTTGATGTTTTAACATACTCACATTTTGTTTGAGATTTAGCCTGCAAGATCCAAGAAAACCTCAAACAAAAGCTTTCAAAGATTGGGTACTAGAAATTACCTTTTTAAGGTGGTCAGAAAGTAAGCCGAGAGTCCAAGTTAACAAGTTTGTTACCGTCTTCAAATTCCCAACAAATTCCTCGTGCTCGGTCATATCATTCCTGCAAAAGTCAAAACTACAGAAGGATTTTACTTACATCAATATCAGCAGACTCCCCGAAAGTTACAACTAAAATACATAACATCTATTATACACTCCCCCGGCAAGTACGTACACTATCAAGTAGTCGAGCAACATGTCCACAGCCTCTAGAGAGAAGTGTGATAGAGTTGTCTTACTCTTCTTCCCACGACCACCTCCCTGAGTAATAGTCTAGTCATTGTTAGGAAACTTGATTTAGGGTTAAATGAGATTTGAGAAGGGGTACCTGTTAAAAATTCAAGAAACTTTCTAGGATATCCCTTCAGTGCATACTGTAAACAATAAGCATACAACTATTAACTATTGTTAGGGGAATTGGAAAGATATTAAATAGATGTTCAATATTAATACTTAACAGAATTTGAGAATATGAAGCAGGCAATAGGCCGGCAACCTAATGTGTAATAGGTAATCATACCACGACTCGTTGCTGTTGAAGCCCAGGGACAAAAGAAAATATTTTGCCCAAATATCGCGATGCCGCGATTTTTAACAGACTATACATAAAATTTGTCTTAAATAATGGGAAAAATCGCGATTCCGCACATGCCGCGATTTCCTTTTTTCCCTGCTGAAACCCAACCTGTTTTTCAGATAGTATTTCCTGAACGGAGTACATCGATCTGAATAGTTTCTTAAACCTTTCTCCGCTCTCTGTAGTTCCTTTACCACTATTCAGCTCATTTTCAAGCAGCACCTAGGACAAAGAAAATAGTTGAGGTACTCGCGAGCAAACAATAAAAAATCGTTTCTCTCACACGATTTATTAATCACAAGAGTAGAGTAGCCCTACTTGTGATAAAAAATAAAATATTATAATTTCAGACATAAGTGTGAGATTGAAGAGTGACAAAAACCTCTAAAATAGCAGTGAGGCTAAGGGCAGTAACTAAATTTCGGGACCCGACACCGGTGTTTGAGAACTCTGCTCCTTTATCAAGGTCCCAATCTTCCAAATCACACTTTGTTGATCGCAATGTCACCGAAGTCAGCAGTTCGTCCAATTTCATCACTGCAAAACATCTCTTGAGATAAAAGTTAGGCCGGTATAGTATTCAAAATTATTTATTTACAACTAACTTCAGAACTTGGCCGACGATAAAATTGATTAATAAGAAAATATTGGTTTAAAATGAACTAACCATCGTCCTGTTCCCTGGGTTTCACTAGAGCACAGCAAGTGAACGTGGCTCTTAACAAGTCCATAACAGGCTCTCGTAATACACTCTGATCAGGTAACACTGCTATACAGTTACCCAGCTTTATTGGGGGTAGAATACCTGGGGACAACAAAAAGAGTCAGCTGAAATCCTTGGGCACAGACCTCAAGAATATTTAAAATTTGTGACGTCGATAATTAGATTATAAAACTTTACAGTTCTTGTGCCAGAAATGCATGATTCTGCTTAGTGCTTAGTATTTCTTTAAAAATTTTGAGATAAATCGACGAGGAAAAATATTGAAAAAAATGTGGCTGAGAGCAGTACATTACCTGGGTCCTGCTCAGTAACCGCCACCAGCCTCTCCTCTAACAGCTGCAGTATCATGGGATACAGCTTGGAGTTGCTTCTCAGGATGCTGGCTAGTCTGTTGTAGATGTCACTTCTTACACTGCCTTGTTGGGTTAAACCCCGCTTTAGTAGCAGCAGGATCTGGTGAAAGGAGAGGAGTAAATATGTAATTATTAACAAACTGTTTACACCATTAAAATATTCAAAACCCCTAAAAGAAATCAAGTCATCCTAAAATGGTGATCAGTACAGATCAAGACAGCTAGAGTTAAAATTTGTTTCTCCAAGCAACTCTATCATCGGCTAATATCTTAAGCTTATTAAGATCATTCAAAGAGTTAAGTTTTAAACCTCTACGGGTCAAATCATTCACAATAATCTTGAACAAATTCTTACGATGCGCACCGACGCGCCCTTTACAGTTTGTTGTGACAGCAAACTTTAACGCTAATGCAGCGGGGGAGTCATCAGCACTACGCAAGATATGACCTAGGAGCTTCCACCTTGCTGTAGGGACACGATCTGATAGCTTAACTGAGTTACATCTTAGGTATAAGTTTGCATTGGATATTGTTCCATGAGGCCAATAAATGTTCAGTAATGATCTAAGGTGTTTTCTATGGCAAATGTCTAGTTTTTCTAGTGACTTTGCAGTAGGACACCAACTACTGCAATTGTACATGATGATTGATACAATTTGGGCTTCGTATACTGCTATCTTTCTGGTAACGGAGATATTCTGCTGAGACCAGATCTTGGTGAACTTATAGAAGGCATTGTTCCCAGCAATGCATCGAGCAGTAAATATGTAAAATATGTTAAATATGTAAAATATGTTAAATAAGTTAAATATGACAAAACAAATTCAAGACGATGATAAGTTGGCAAAAAAAGCTTGAATACTCGTGAAAACTCAATCCAAGAGTTGTTATCTTATTTCAACTTATAAGGTATAAGTTATATTCCGAAAATCAAGCAATATCCCATTGTTAAAATCCGTTCAGTATTATGCATAACGTTTGATTAATAGAGTAATAGGAATGTTCGCTGTAAGGTACTCTACCTCTGTACAGACCGCCTCGTTGATATCATCTGTAACCATCAGATGAACCTGAACTTGTGAGCAACTCAGTTGGGAACTCTGACTGTAGTTATCTCCTACCTATGAGGATAACAATTTAATTTAGGAAGTGCAATAGTTCCATTGTCAGGTGTTTCATGAATAACAACTGCTCGATAAAAATGTCGTCGATACTGTAAAAACCAAACCTTGAACTTCTTCATCATCTCGGTAAGTCCGAACACAGCGATTCTCCTGTTATCAGGATTCTTGGAGAAGAGAGTTTTGCGGAATGTGAGAATAGCAGCATCTCTGAGAGATGTGTCGTACCGCATCACAGGGACTACAGCACGGAGCACACACCTCGCGTTCTTCAGTGGGATCATGGGCACGTTGGATAGGTTGTCCTTCAGCTGGAACGGGGAAATTGTGACTTTCAGAAATAACACCGATTATTTAGTTTCAAATGGTGCATTGATTAATTGAAAAACGTAAGTGATGAGCCAGAAATAAAATTTCGTAAGCAAAACACCTACAGTCTTACAAGCTAACCTTATTGGGAAATATTAGTTATTCTCCGTTATTTCAATTTCGTAAAATGTAAATAATGAGACACCACCCACACTAACCATGTTTGACTGAGAAAGTAGCAGCTGAACACTCCTCCTGGATATCCTCGCCAGGAGCAGGGAGTGAAGAGTCCCGGAAGTGAGGGGAGATGACGTCACGATACGGTGCAGCAGATCCGTCATCACACTGCTCCGACAGTGCACGTGCAACTTGTAACATTCCTCTGAAACACACGTGTTGTTAACCCTATAACACGTGTTGTTAACCCTATCACACATGTTGTTATCCCTATCACACGTGTTGTTATCCCTATCACACATGTTGTTATCCCTATCACACGTGTTATTATCCCTATCACACGTGTTGTTAACCCTATCACACGTGTTGTTATCCCTATCACACGTGTTGTTATCCCTATCACACGTGTTGTTATCCCTATCACACGTGTTGTTAACCCTATCACACGTGTTGTTATCCCTATCACACGTGTTGTTATCCCTATCACACGTGTTGTTATCCCTATCACACGTGTTGTTATCCCTATCACACGTGTTGTTAACCCTATCACACGTGTTGTTAACCCCATTGTTAAAAGGCCGATGATTTCAAGCAGTTCCCGAATCTAGGTGCACTTTACAATCTAAAGTAATAGATAGCTGTACATTTTTAACTCCAAATCTAGCAGTGGTGTGTCCCGGACCTCAGCTGCTAGAGGTACTTGCTGACAATTGACTTTTATTTACACTACTTTACTTTAGGAAACATTCTGTCGATATTGATAAAATGTGAGGTTATCAAATTATCAAGAATTCTCCCTCTTCGGTATTCTTAGTATTTCATCCATTCATTTATTCAGTCTGGAACCATAAATATTTGGCACGAGAAAGTGATTTACTCAACACCTTCCAGCAGCGACCAGTAAAATGATAGAATAATCTCAATCATTATGTGTTGTATGCCTAGTTATTGCCCACATCCAGAAACACGCGAGTATGTAAGTTTAATTTTATTTCAAGACCTTTTTTAGGGTTCTATTAAAGGGCATAAAGAGTGGGACTAAGAGAATATTTTAAACTTTCTAGACGCGGGGTCGCATTATCATGTGTAACATCAAAATGTATCTTTGACAAAATGTATTTTTAACTTAACCTTATGTATTTTACCTTATGAAGTTTAAATAAAACTATTAATTCTAATAATTCTTGGAATATCAATCACAGTGCTGGCAAGCATGATCGTTGCCCTTATACCTCCCATACTATTATACCCCCTTCACTTTTCTACATTATATTATATCAAACAAACGCTGTAAAAGGTGTACACATTATCTTTTATCAAAATAAAAATGCTATAAATTATGATCTATCCGGAAAAACTATTTTATCAGTAAACTTTTCCTTCAGGTAATCATCGACCGCACTCGGACCCGAGAATGATCGAGGCACAAATATTGGAGGGCACAATTGCCATTCCCTTACGTCCACCACACCGTTCATGTTATTATCCAACAACTCTTTCATTCTACCAAAATCATCAAATATCAAACCATCTAACGGATACATAATCACTGTGCACTTCACTCGAGCTCTTGACATTGCTAGGTACAAAGTTTCCACGTCAGCTGATGATTGTCTGTCAGCGTATAATTGACGTCTCTCGAATCTTTGGGCCGATGGAAAAGGCTTCATCTTCCATATTTCCTTAACCTGTACTTCTTCTAATATTATATCGGCCAAAGGTAACAAAACGATAACTGCCGGCCATTCTCCTGAAGAAGCTAGCATACATGTCCTCATGTGTTTATTTTCCGGTAGGCTGTATTGAAGGCAGTCCACTAAGGAGAGAGTATCCACATCTTCTTCCCCAAAAAGAAGACCCACTTCACTTTTATCAATGAATTTATCCCTGCATAAATTGTTTAACTCATGAGTAAAAATGTCCCTTATGAGGTTTCGATTGAAGTTTTGTAAAGTATGAATGATAGTTTTTGGTCCATGAATATAATGTCCAGGTCTTTGTAAAGGAAAAACGGTTTCTATGATCTCAGACTTCACGGGGCATTTCATCTCAATGGCAAGATTTCGTATAGTTGATAAAGCGCTAGCTATATCAGAGGTGTTTCTCAAGTTCTTTGATAGGCTCACTATTTGTTCAGGTGATGCCGTTCTCTCCAAAAAAGCAGGAAAGTGTACACTGAGATTGTGGTCCCACGATTTAACACAATAATTAATACTTTGAATAACATCACATGTCAGCCAAACGATATGGGTCGTCGATAATTTCAAAAGTGTATTAATGAAATCATAGTTTTCAGAAAAAATGCCACCACAGCCAATCAGCAGTTGTGCCTCATCTATAAACAGGTTAATACCCGTTAATGAACCAAGTAGATCTTGCATCCAGAAAGCCGAGCGTAACAAGCGTTGGCCTAATTCTGATGACACGGAATAAGTTACTTTTTCAGTAGAATCAGGATCAATATAATTAAAACCACAAGCGACTACAATAACAACTTGGGATGCTAGGAGACAGTTTAAAATCTCATGGTAGATTTCAAAGGGTGTGCTTGTAGTATAATGATCAATAGTAATATAGCCTTGCTTTACTCCAGCTTTACTCAGTATTTCCTGATACCTTTTCGCAGCCTCGGTCGTCATATCACCATTTCCTTCCATCATTGGAATGAATAAGACAACTTTGTTTAGCTCACTTGACTTTGCTAGTTGTAAGATTTTTGCTATTAGAACAACAGTTTTACCAGCACCAGCGGGTCCATTTATAAATAAAAAGTTCTGAATTCAACACATCAAATTGTTCTTTGCTCAAGTTTTCAACTCCTAAAACGTCCTTAACAAGTTGCGGCGTCGAGATAACCTCAGGATTATTTCCTCTGAGAGTAAATCTTCCAGAGTGCAATTCCTTATCTATGTCCACTATAGATTTGCCCAAACTACATTTTGACATATCACATCGACCCTTACTGTCTGTGCACCAAACAGCCAGGAACAAGTCTCTAACTTTTTCATGACTTTTGCGCATCTCGCAATTTAGAGGTTCGTCCAATATGAAGTCTTTGACATTTTCTTCCCACCAATCAAAGAAACAATCGAGGTCTTCTTTAAATATGATCGTTGATTTCTGCTCTCTACTCAACAAGAATTCGTCCTGATATTTTTTGCTGAAATAAGGATATGCAGTAAACTGTAGAATTGTTGAGTGTCTACTGAATCGTTTGATCATGTCTGCCACCTTTTTCCTTTGTTTCAATGACTTCTGGAATGTACCAGTTAATGCCTGAAACTTCTGATCGTTCATATCTTTAGGGGCTGATTTATCACCAATGTGGCACATATTCTTAACTTCAATTATGATAAAGTAATTAGCACCTATGACTAAAAAATCACACTCGCCTTCTTTATTGGCTGCCTTCTTTTTACAAATATTACAATTCCGCCTGACATGGCTTGCATCACCAAGATAATATTGAAAATGACTATATTCCAGACTGTGAAGAACTATCATAATCTCTCGCAGTCTTTCTAATGCTCGGTACACTATCACTTCAGCTTCATAGTTTTGTTGTTGGTTCTTGTCGTCTTTGAGTTGACTGCTACTGCCTAACTGATCATCATCTGGGTAGACGTCAATGTACTTTTGTTGCGGAGCTCTTGGGAACATAAAAACAATTTTCAACCCTGAAAAATCGGGTGGACAGTAGGTACGAAATATTTCACTACCATTCCGTAAATATTTCTCGAACTGCGTCTCTTGTTGTGTCATAATATTCGTCATAACATACTAGTAGTAAAACAATGATGTTACATTGAAACGTAGAACAATTCCTTGAGCCTTTTCCCTTTCGAAAAAACACGAACACTACAAATTTTACAGAATCATTAAAACATTACGACTATTAAATAATGTTCCATCCGGATATACACATAATAGCAGTCACTAAAGTCTGCTTATTGAAATAAAGAACGAAGAAAAATAAAATGTAAAGTGTAAACAATACTAAACAAACAGACTACGGAGAGCTCCATATTGGTACTGTAACCAAGATGTAATTAGATCGAACGCAGAAATTAGATCGAACGCAGGAATTAGATCAAACGCCGGCGTGAGATATATAATATCTAAATACATTGAAAGCCGCGGCGGCGTTCGATCTAATTCCTGCGTTCGATCTAATTACATCTTGGTTACAGCTAGTCACACAAATCATACCATAAATTACTGAGCACCAGAAGGTGCCGGCTAGCTGTTACTCTAGCAGTAACATTAACAACCCCTGTCAGATAAGGTGCCGGCTAGCTGTAACCAACCTATGTCAGATCCCAACAGTGCCACTGAAGCAACGAGAAGTGTGAACAACTAGAACAGTGTAACAGTGTAGTACTACGAGATATACCGTGTGTATTTATAACCCTAATCTAGTAGTTGAGTAGATTTCGAGGGGTCACGTGACACTACGTTTTGTAGTTTACGACCAAATATTCGAGTGTCCAGTTGATTGGATGGGTACATAGTACATACATGTATGACCATTACCTACATATTTGACGACTTTTTTCGATAGATGGTGCACTCATGTTTACTCTGTCACACATTTAAGAAAATATGTGATGAATGTTTAGGGCACCCTGATAAGTAATGCTGAGTAGTGTAGGTTTATTTGATGGCCTGGAAGTGCTAGGAATTGTTATTATATCATATAGTCGTAAGGAATTAAAACACAGAAGGCACAAACAAGTTTACTTTGTCACATAATCTTGATGATATCTGAACATATTGTGTGAAATTAAACAAATAATGATATAGGTACCAGCTTAAACCCCTTATATTACATACAATGGATCAAACAACACTGCTAGTACCACGCGCCAGTCACATTAATCATTATCGGGTGGTAATATGTTAACAGTGTCACAATTAAACTACCGCAACATGGTCAAAAATAGGGTAATTTCGTCACAAAAAAAAATTATTATAATTATGTTAGCTCCTTGCTGGCAAAATAACTAGTTCATTGATGATAAAGTTACATAGTATTCTAATAGAGGTATAGCTCTTCAAAATAGGGACAAGACATGTTTACTTTGTCACATCAGTTATTATAAGAGTTAGGTAATCGTCATCAGATTAACAGATCTTTTTCGTAGTTTGGATCGATTAATATAGGCAATAAAGCATCCTATGCCAATTTTTAACACACTATCTTGA